AAACTATCAGATGCTAGGAATCAAGACAACTACTATGGCAGACGACTTCGGACTCGGTGCGTTCTACATAGTCTCCCTGAGACACAAAGACCAATTTGCGACAACGAGGTCAACCCACTTAAATAAGTCGAAAGGAGACTGCGACCATACCCGAGGTCACAACATCTTGGTCTTCACATCTTCAATATAGTCGGTAATTAAAAGGTTTTTTGTTTGTAATTCGATTTTTGAGACTACCAGTAGAGATGTATTCATCTTATTTCATCAAGTGGATGAAGGACTGACAACTAAATTTTCCCGTGAAAATGTGAGTATACCCTACGCTTCCATTGAATTTCACATACCCTAGCTTCTCAGAAGGTATTCGCGTCCAGGGGGGACTGTAGTCTTGACCTCGCCTAGGTCTCATCCGGACTCATAGCGGGACTAACCGCGATAGTAGAGCGAGTAATCTCAACAGGTCGGCCACCAGGTGATGTCTAAACTGCAGTCCAACCTTGATGAAAATATCTTTTAAGAAGCAAGGTAATGTGAAATGTAATGGAAGTGTAAGTTCTCTTCAGATCATTGTGATAAAATGCAACTACTAGTCCTTTATCACCTAAACTAAATAGTGTGAATAAATCTTGATTTGAAAACTCAATTTGATTCGAGGTCCTATGCTCTAGTTTCAAATGATTCAATTTTGTTGAGAAGATGCATCGCATTTAATGGGGTACCCTTCAATCATTAGAAAAATCAAGTAGTGCCTTCCAATCATGACCATGCAACATTACATGACAAAGGACGTACTTTCTCGACGGCGAAAGGAGTGCTCGTGTATACACCTCGTTGTCATGGTTACATAGTCATTCACGTCCAGTATGCTGGTGCATAAAGTGCTGGAGAGTAAGAGCAAAGTGACTATTGGTGGCTTCCCTTAAGTCTGGTCGTTCGAGCCAAGCAAAACTGGCCTAGGTCACCATAAAAAACTGGGCCATCAAGATGTCGTTCTTCCAGCTTTAGCATATTTATCGTATTTATGGTAATGATGAATATCCCTCCTAACAACAATAGACTGCATTTTATCGGAGGTTGTATGGCCTAGCCAGTCCTATGATAAAACCATGCTTCATGTTGCCTTTCAGGTGATGGAGTACAGGGAGCGTTCTAACAAGATGGAGGAGAACATGGGGAAAATGAAGACTGAATTGGAGAATGCACATCGAGCGGTAAGTTGTTGCTTGTAGTGGCGAGTCAGGGGAATAATCACCTGGCCTCCAACAGGAGCCCTTAAATTGCATTACAACATTTCAATAACAGTCTGCAGGTCATAGATTTATGAAATTAGGATATTAAAACAATTAAGCGGCTTATTGATGTAGCTTTGCGCAAATCGCATCAAAATTTCTGTTCTAAAGATTTGTGATTTGAAATCTGACACTGTTGTGTAATTTGACCTCATTCATATGTCGCTGAGACTGATCAAAAGACAATTTCTTCTTATCTACCATTGCACAAGTGGAAATCCTGTTCTCTTTATAAGCTTTACTATTATAAACATTAATATCCTGGCTAGAGAGTTATTTCGTTTAACACATGCTTGCTAAGCATTTCTATTTGCAAATTTCTGTATTTTTTACCGTCTACTCTCATAGATGGCCATCTTGCATATGAGAATTCCATGCATATGAGTTGCTATTAACTCAAATAAGAGAGGCTCGGTGACTGTTCTAAATGCTTCAAAAGGTATCCTTGCTTCTTGTGTATTGATGTTTATATTTCGTGCAACTTCTCGTCATAGAGTATCAGGTTATCCAATCCGACAAGAACTTTTGCGGCTTCTCTACTTACACAATTTCATATCCAAGGCAAATTTTATTTTTTGATAGGATGACTAAAGTTTTGATAGATGAGTTTTCTTCTCCAAGTCGCATCCTCTTTCGATCTCTTCCGCACTCCCATTAGGGTAGTGAGTTGAAAGGGGTCTAGCTT